TAATCAGTCACAAGAACGTCGAATCTGAATCACTTGAAAAAAACACGGGGTGCTTAACTTTTTTCCAGGTGTATAAATGAAAAATTATCAGGGATACATCAGCTTGGACCAGTTTTCTTAGCTCTTGATCATCCATTATACTCCTTATATGTCTAAAATGCTATTAATAATAGAAAACTGTTTCATAGTGTTTATTTTCTCCTTTTATCATATATAATTTAATAATTTGAGGTTGTAATTATTTGGCTACAAATGCAATGAGTAAATGTCTAATATAAGTTTTAGATGTAACTCCTTGTAGGGTAAGGAGTAGTGAATTTGAGAAAAACACTTTATTTTTCCTATATCTTTGACATTTAGATTTCCATTTCAACTTTTCACTCTTCTGCCATGTCCCTGTATGTTTTGTAGTAGCATTAAATACTTGTAATATTTGTTATATATTTCAGCTCCTACATGCTTTTTGTATAAGTACTTATACATAAAAATTCCAACTAATGGAAGAGTAAATGGATGTTTGGTTTGATTTTGAACCATTCCTGTAGGTTACAAAGGAGAACCAGGGCTTCCAGGTCCACCTGGTGTCCCTGGACCACCTGGAAGAAATGGATTACCTGGAGTTAAAGGAGATAAAGGTGTGAGAGGCTTTGATGGTTTACCTGGACCTGAGGGACCAAGAGGATTTGTAGGACCTAAAGGAATTCCTGGATATCATGGACTGCCTGGACCAAAAGGTGAACCAGGCTTAGCAGCAGCAAAGGGGGAAAAGGGGGAGCCTGGATTACCTGGTATTTTGGGACCACCCGGAGCTCCAGGGAGAGATGGTATGTTAATAGAAAAACGTGTTTTAATTGAATGGAAAAAAAAAATATATATATATGAATTTATTTATTTCTGTAATATCCTGTTTTTCTCATTTAAATTTATAAATAAGTAATCAAGGTAAAAATAATTAATGCAAATTTGCATGTTTTTTTTTTTTTTACTTTCATTAACTTAGTTACTTGTTTATGTTGTTACCTAAAATTTGTAGTTAAGTAACTAAATGTAATTTTACATATATATTTTGACTTCCATTGATCATCATTTAAAAAACATGCAAAAATGCTTAAAAATTTTTAGATGCACAGAACAAAAATTAAAAGACTTATCCTTGTATCTTACAAGTGGTACAAATGATAGTATATCAAAGTTGATATGCTAAAAACTGTAAAACTACTTTGTACATTTTTTCTTTTAAATAATGTCTTATATTGCTAAAGTACATCATTAGATACACAAAAAATGTTTTAAGATTAGTATATCTATGTTCAAATGCTTTAAAACTATCATAAAATATAATGATATTCTTTATAGATTACACATAACAAATGCTTCTGAGATGTACCACACAGTTTTACTATTTTCCCCAGAATGGTCTATTGGATTATGTCCTTCACCTGATCTGGTTTGGGTAGTATTTTACCATTCATGATATGATCTTAACCTTTCCATCTCTTTCTCAATATCTTTCTCAGGTTTGTTCCTTTGTCTGTGTTATTATTATTTTTATTTTCTCACCTTATCAGCTGTTATTCTTGAGGCTAATTTTGTCTTTTCTCCCTGGTTGTTATTAGACTTTATGCTGTTTTATTTCTCTAATAGTTCTTTTTTGTGCCTAAGTGCCTCTTTCCCTTCACACTCATGCCTTATTTTGTCCTGATTTGTAGACTTACTTCAATTTCTCAATTCCTTGTCTTTAGTAGCTATGTGGCCAGCATGGGGTTTTGTCCCCCTTATCTTCTCTTTCACTTCTATTTCCTCATTTTTGCATTTTTTGTCATTTTCTCTTTACCATTCTGTATTCCCTTTCCTAATTCTGCCTTTTAATTCAAGCACTTCTTCATGCTTTGATGGATTCTGTAGACATTTGTTCTCTTCTCAGTTTATCTTGTTCCACTTCTTCTGCTTTATCCCTTCATACTTTGTTTCCCTACTGTTGGGATGTGTTGGGTCAGTTTTTCCTCTTTCTCTTCCCTCTCCTAATATATATATCTTTTTTTTTTCTGGGGACTTGGACTGCTGTTAAGATTTCTGTCCCTGATATCTTCCCAGGTTTTATTTTTCACTTTCTTAACCTTGTCCTTTACTCCTATTCCTCTACTGATAGTCTAGTTTATTACTCATCTTATCAGTGACTATATGTCACATGTATGATTCTTTGAGTACCTATATCTTCTCCTGCTGTTGGCCTCACTTTCTGTTAACAGTTGTTTTCCATTTCTCCAGCTTGCTCTTCTCATTTCCTTTTCACTTCCCTTCAACCCCATCTATGGTCTGTTTCACCCAGTCTATGGTTAGCCATGGTTGAATTGTCAGACACCTTCCTACACATCTTTTTTGGCCTGTCCTCCATTTATTTTCTGTTATTCCTCCTTCCTTTTCATGTTTTCCCCATTCCATGCTCTTCCTTTCGAATCCACGTTGGCCCCTTTTATACTTCTTGGCATTGTGTGGACCTTCACTTGCCATATTCACAGTCCAGGATTGGTGTTCCTTTCTTGGACTGTTTCCTTCTGTTAGTCCAATCTTGGGAGTTGCCTCCTTTCCTACCTCCATTCCATTCCCTTCCTGTGGCTACTCAGTGGGTAGAGTGGACTTACCCTTGGATCTACATCCTTTCTCACACCCATTCAGTGTTTAGTACTTTTAGTCTTTTCTTCTTTTGGTCTGTTTATTTTTGCCTGCAAGTTCTGGCATATCTGGTCACCAGGTTTTGCACTTCTCATTCTCTTACTGCCCAAGAGTTTATTTTGCCCTTGGGGACTTAAGCTTCCCCAGAACCCCTTATTCATTTGGTGAAAGTACTAATTTGTTTCCAGCTATGGACCTTATGAACCCATGGTTTTTATTCTTGGAGTTTGTTTTCCTCTTCAGGCAATAGTAATACAACTCTGGGCTCATTCACATCAGGTTGATCTTCTTGCCTGTCATTTGCTGTGAGCTTTTATTTTGATGATGACCTACATCTTTCACCCTATCTGCATCCTATCGATGGAGTTGTCTCTACACCTCAGGTCCTTTAACCTTATCGCCATGGCATCTTTTACTGCTCATGTCACGAAGTTTTAGTGACTTACATTCAAAATTTAATTAAAGTACTTTTTTATGTTATACCAAATAGTATAGCATAACATCGTAGTTGATGATCCATCTTTTAATAGTATAAAAATTATAACTTCTTAATTTTATAAGGCAATATTGAAAAAATCCTGAGCATCCTCTCTTCTCTAGTTTATTCACCAACCCTCCAATAAATACGAAATTTAACGTAAATTATTCACTATAAAATCATCATTGTTCAGACAAGCTTTAATTTTTATTTCCTTCAATCTTTAAATACAGAGCCATCAAATATAAAACCAGACCTCTTTTGCCACACCCACCTCTTACATTCTATCTTTCAGGATTTGTTAATAGTTTTTCTTATTCTTAATACTATATTATGTATAACCAATAGAAAACCAAGGTTTTCATCTATCAAATGACATATTATATTACATTGTTTTCTGAAGAGAGAATTGTCATTTTCCCTGTTAGTACAACCTTCTTTCCCTGAGAAAAAATAACAACTAGCTTAGATGAATTTGTAATGGCTTTTGTTGCATAGTTAGAAAGCCAGAAAAATTGTGATAGTCAGGGGAAATTCTCTGCATTTTGCAAGTTATTATTATATGTTCTTTGGTGCATTGTTTAATTAAGTAAAAATTATTTAGTGCATTACTATTCTTAGTATAAAAAAAGTAGGGTTAAGTGTCATTGACTGTCAACAGCAAAAAAAAAAAAAGACCTGTGTAAGTACTTTCTTGTTTTTCATGTTTATTCTTTATTTATCATTATAAAAGTAACTAAAATATAAAAATAGGGATTTTGTTTAGGGTAGTTAAGGTTAGAATTGGTAAAATAAATAATAATATAATAAAATCTTTCACAAGACACACGAATGTAGTTTCATGCTACAATTTGTTATAAATTAAAAAATGGTAATTTAGATTTATTTCGGGTTGTTTTTTGATTATTTTTTTTGGTGGTTACGAGGTTGATCAAATTGACCAACTCTATATAGAGTTAAGGTAGATAAAATAAGAAATAAAATATAAAGTTTTACTGAAAATAAACATTTGAAATGTATTTAGAATGTTTTAAAGATTATACAAATGAAATTTGAGATATTTAAGGTAAACAGAAATATTTTTAATCTTAACATGAAAATTACTTTGCAAACAGTCTGGTAAAAGAAAATACTCAGCATGTTCATGGACAAATCTTTTTTTAGTTTATTAAAAATGCTTCATAAAAAGTCAGATTTTTTTTGTATGTGAAAGACTTGTAATGTTTACTGAAAGTCTGCCAAATTTTGTGGAGACATACTTACTATATTAAAAGTTAATAGTGTCAAAACTATAAAGACATTACATGAAGAAAAATAGATTATGTGGTCAGTCGAATCGACCGAGTCCATGTTGAGAAAGTTAAGAAGTTTGCTTTTAGTTGGTCATGCTCTTCTTGAATGCACTTGCCACCCTTCACAACTCTGGGCTTCCTTCCTTATGTCATGGTCTCATCCTTTTCTATTTCCATTTCCCTATTTCTGTTTTTTATTTCCCCATTTACCTCTGCCCTTCATCTTTACACGTTTTCCTCATCCTATAGTTGGTGTCCTCTTGCTCAGTTCAGCTATGGTCTACTGGCATTCGACCTTCCCTTGCTTTCCTCAATTTTCTCTCTCTCTCTCTATCTTATTTCACATTTGCTCATCTCTTCATCTTTGAGGGTTTCCACCTCCATACACATGGAATTGGCCCCATCTGTTACACATCAGGTTGGACTTTCTGTTTTCATGTCACTCTTCTTGTTGTCCTTCTTTCAACATTCTCTCAGCAACTTTGGTTGTTTTTTATTGTCAATTTTTCCACCACTTCTTTCTTCCTGGCAGCCATCCTACGTCCAATTTTCTGCCTTATTTCCTTGACTCATCATTAGTGGGCTTGTTTGTCTGTACCTCTACTAATTCTCAGTTGGCTTTGAGGTTTTCTTTCCCCTATCCTCTCCATCATTCTCTTCCATCATATTCACTCTGTTCCATTACCTGTCTGAGACCTTAATGGGATTTGTGATCTGGTACATGCCCCATTTCAGCTGTTGGCCTTCTATATTTTGTTCCATATCTTTATCCTCGTTTGTTTCCTCCTTCTCCTCACCTGTTATTACCACTGTTCAGATTAGGCATTTTCTCCTGGTCTCTCCACTGTGAATTCCTTCTTCTTTTTTTTTAACGAATAGGGCATTGGAGATTTTTGCCACTTGCTAGCCACAGGGCTAGTGGACCATGGAGAACCCTCACCGATTGGACTCATATACAGGGACAATATACACTTGAGTACCATTATGGTGGTAAATGGGGTGTGATGACACTTTCAAAGTAGTGCAGTTAACCCCTCACATAGCTGTACTTGTATCCTTCTCCTGTGGCCTGAGCCTGCTCAGTAGAGTTGAAGCAAGCACAAAATATTATAGTGTACCCTCTTTCTGTAGCCTGCAACTGCTTAACAGAGTTGAGATGCACACATGCTACTATCTCATGCCCTCCATCTGCAGTATTGTCTGTTCAGCAGAGTTAGGGGAGCACATGCCACTATACCATGCCCTCGTCCTGTGGTTGTGTGTGTGTCCAGTAGAATTGAGATCAGCACACTCTTACATATGTAATCTCATCCTGCAATCATGTGTGTTCAGTAGAGGTGAGATGTGCACATGCCAAACCAATTTCTGTGACATTAATACTGTGCCCTACTCCCACAGCAGGTATTGGTCCAGTAAGTCTGATGGTAGAATTGAGGTGGGCACACAAGATATGGTCTAAATGCACCACATCCATACTTCAGATATTGACTCTTTGATTTCTTATGTGCAAATATTTGGATGGCCACATTCTTATTCTGCCCATCCCTGCAACACATGAGGCCCATTTGCCTCTTCCTCCCTTTATATCTGGCATAGAGTATACTCTGGTTGAGATGAGATGTAGTCTTCCATGAGTGTGCTTCTATGAAGCCCCTGTTATCAGATGTCATCCTCAATGGTTTTTTTGGGTACTTTCTGAAGGGAGCTCATATAAGTAAAACTTTGCACTAGCCACTCCACCACTTCAAGGTGGGATTATAGCAATATTGTGTTTAGAGGTGTAATATCTTCTCAGAAGTTAAGATTTTCCTCACCTCAGACTGTATTTCATATAGATACTCACCTCACACACACACATTTCCACCCATTCTCCCTACTTCCAGTGCACCTTTATATTCTTTACCTCATCAAAGTATAATGTTCTTGAAAGCAAATGCATAGAAAATGTTGTTGTTTATGGGGGTGTGCCACTCTTCTATTGGTGGATGGCTTTTGCTGCATGAGTACTTCATTATGCAGTAGAACAATTTATGAGAAATCTTGTGAGATGGGATGTACCTCAAAGTTAGTGGTATGCAACTCATTAAGGCAGACATGTGGAGAAGATAAAACTGTGTTAAGAGGTATCTATCAGAAATACATTTTCAGGTAAGGGAAATGTTAACTTTAAGACTGGTATATCTGTGTTCAAATGCTTTAAAACTATCAGGTTGTAACGAAAGTTCTGACCGATTTTCAAATGAATTTAGACAAACAAAATAGAGATGATTATACATGTATTAAATCATCCATATATTCTCCACTGCTTTTGATAACCTTGTTCCATCTGTCAACAAGTTTTTGGATGCCACATTTATAAAATTCCTTAGGTTTTGACCCAAAATAAGAGATTAACTCATTGTCGACCTCCTCTCTTGAAGTTAGTCTAAGTCCATCCAAATGATTTTGTGAACTCCTAAACATATGATAGTCAGAAGGAGCAAGGTCGGGAGAATATGGTGGGTAAAACAATTTTTCCCAGTCAAGTTCCTCTAGGAGAACCTTGGTTACTCGTACTGTATAGGGACGTGCATTATTGTGGCAAAGAATGCCCCCCTTTTCTGTTTGCTAAGGATGGGCGTTTTTTGTCCAAAGCTGTTTTCAAATGCTGCAGTTGTTGGCAGTAAACCTCTGCTGTGATTGTCTGGTTATTTTTTAACAGTTCATAATGGACAATTCCTTGCATATCCCACCATACATGATCTCCCTTGGATCCAAGTCCCCTCTCGGCTGCTGGGCAGGTCTATCACCACGACTATACCACTGACGATGGCACTTAACATTATGTTAAAGGATCCATTTCTCATCCCCAGCAGCAACTCTGTCCAAAAATGGCACTCGGTGCTGACGTGAATGCAATGCCTCACAGTAATCGACACGTTGTTGGCGATTCTCTACAGACAGGTCGTGTGGGACCCATTTTCCAACCTTTGACACTTTTCAAACCTGTTCAATTTGCGATAGATGGTCATTGGCTAACATTGAATTGTCTGATAAGATCCCTAACTGTAATGGCAGGATTTGCTGCAACAGCTGCCTCCAGTGCCTCTGAATCGAGTCCACTTGGACGACCCTCTCTTGGCTCATCCATTAAACTGAAGTCCCCATTTCTGAAACAGGAAAACCACCTCTTACAAGTTCTTTTACTTACTGCATCGACACCATAAGTGCTCTGGATAGATATTGCTGCTGCACTTGCATTTACCCCTCTATGAAACTCGTAGAGCATAACATGACAAATGTGTTCTTTAGTTGGATCAAACATGGGGTCAGATTGAAAGCGTTTTCTTGAATAATATTCCTTTCTCCTGAAAGTAAAAGAGGTGTATTACTTATGTGGGCATGACTAAACGTCAGATAGAGATAGAACTTAATTAAATCCTGTTCAACATTTTCGGCTCAAAAATCGGACAGAACTTTCTTTACAACCTGATACTATAAAATATTGAGAAGTGTTTTATAAAGCAGATATAAAAAAAATTTATGTTTTGCCTGAAATCGATAACGAAAATTCATTATGATTAGAATATGATAATAAAATAAGTCTAGCATAAGAAACAAAGGATAATGCTCTGAAACAACCATAAGACATATGGAAAATATCCCTGAGTTTATTATAAGACCTATGTACACGAAAATGCTTTAAAACTCATTTGTTGCTGTTTTTTCTACTTATAATTAATGAATGTTGATTTATAGCTATGTTTTGCTTTTGTTGGTCATTTTTTCTTTTGAACCTGAAATTTATATTCCAGTTACTAATCATACAAAAGCATGTGAAACTGTTAGGTTTCTTAAACATCATTAATGACTCTGTTTATTATTTAGGTAAAACTGGATTTTTGCTGCTAGAAAAAAAAAAAAAATATATATATATATATATATAT